GATTGTCCCTTAAGCGTGCTTTCTCCTGCAGGATCCGGTTTTTAGCTGACTCTGTCTTGAAAATCACTTTGACTGGACGCTTTTTTCCTCTTGCAAACCACCCAATTCTCCGAAAATTTGTCAGCCTAGTCATGTCGTCCTCTCCTATTGCTTTCATGATGCTTTCAATCGTTTTTTCTCCTCCTGTTTCTTTGCCTCGTAAGTTTCCCCGTCTACTTCTTGGAGCCCATAGACAAAAACGTGTTTGTTTTGGGGAGGGAGAGGGGGTGTTTGTTGGGGGAAGAAGGGGAGAAGGGAGGGGAAAAGGATAGTGAGCTGGAGGGGGGCACAGCAGCAGAGGAAAGAGAGATGGGGGAAGACTAAGCGGGACCGAGGGAAGAGCAGTGGTAGGAGGGGAGTAGAAGGAGTGCATGTGTGTGTGTGTGTGTACTCACCTAATGGTACTCACCTAATTGTGGTTGCAGGGGTCGAGACTCTTCACTGATCGCTGTTAGGTCCTCTCTCTCCCTGCTCTATGAACTTTATCCACTACATCACTTGCTAGACTATTCCACTTCCTGATAGCTCTATGACTGAAGAAATACATCCTAACATTCCTTTGACTTATCTGAGTCTCCTCTCTGGAACACCTTCTGTGTGCGCACGCGCGCGCGTGCGCGTGTGTGTGTGTGTTTGTACTCACTTATTTGTGGTTGCAGGGGTCGAGATTCAACTCCTGGCCCTGCAGACTCAGCTCCTGTGTGTGTGTGTGTGTGTACTCACCTAGTTGTACTCACCTAGTTGAGGTTGCAGGGGTCGAGACACAGCTCTTGGCCCTGCCTCTTCGCCGACCGCTACTAGGTCCTCTCTCCCCTTGCTCCATGAGCTTTATCATACCTCGTCTTAAAACTATGTATAGTTCCTGCCTCCACTACATCACTTGCCAGACTATTCCACTTCCTAACTACTCTACGACTGAAGAAATACTTCCTAACATCCCTTTGACTCATCTGAGTCTTCAGCTTCCAATTGTGACCCCTTGTTTCTGTGCCCCATCTCACATACCTCCTGGTCGTTTCTTGTGAGCTCCCCACCTTCTTTCCTCAGCCTGATTACCTGGTGCTTGACTATTGTCTTCCTCCTGATGTGGCTGTAGAGTAGTTTCGGGTCAAACTTGACTTTCGATGCTATGTCATTTTCATACTGCTTCTGCGCCTCCCTTCTTATCTGTGCATACTTGTTTCTGGCTCGTCGACTAATCTCTTTATTCTCCTGAGTCCTTTGCCTTCTGTACTTTTTCCATTCTCTAGAGCACTTAGTTTTTGCCTCCCTGCACCTTCGGGTAAACCAAGGGCTCGTTCTGTCCTTCCCATTATTTCTGTTACCCTTGGGAACAAACCTTTCCTCTGCCTCCTTGCATTTTGTTGTTACAAAGTCCATCATTTCGTTTACTGATTTTCCTACCAACTCCTGTTCCCACTGAACCTCCTGCAGGAAGGTCCTCATTCCTGTGTAGTCCCCCTTTTATAGTTTAGCTTTTTCCTTTCTACTCCTGTTACCCTCTCCACTTTTAGCTCCACGATGTATTCAAAGTTCATAACTACGTGGTCACTAGCTCCAAAGGGCCTTTCATATGTGATATGCTCTATGTCTGAGCGACTCAGGGCGAACACGAGGTCCAGTCTTGCTGGTTCATCCTCCCCTCTCTCTCTGGTAGTATCCCTAACATGTTGGTGCATGAGATTTGCTAGCACCACATCCATCATCTTGGCTCTCCATGTTTCGGGACCCTCATGTGGCTCCAGATTTTCCCAATCAATCTCCCTGTGACTGAAGTCACCCATTACCAGTAACTTCTCTCTACTTGAGTGGGCCCTTCTTGCCACCTCAGCTAGAGTGTCCACCATTGCTCTATTTCATTCATCATATTCCTCTCTTGGCCTCCTGCAGTTCTGTGGTGGGTTATACATAACTGCAATGACTACCTTGTGCTCCCCTGACTGAACTGTACCTACTATGTAATCCCTTTCTCCAGTCTCGTCCATACCTTCCATTTCTTGATAACCCCACTGGTTTTTTATTAGTAGTGCAACCCCTTCTCCCTCCCTGCTCCTTTTATCCTTCCTCAGGATCTGATATCCGGGTGGGAAGATTGCATCTGTTATTATCCCAGTGAGTTTCGTTTCTGTAACCGCTACGATGTCTGGGGACAACTCCTTGATTCTTTCGTGCAACTCCTCACGTTTATTCGTTATTCCATCCGCGTTCGTGTACCAAACCTTCAACTTCTTTTCAATAACTGTGGACTGGGGAGAGAGGTGGATTAGGGGGAGCAGGGGCCTATAGGGGGTTGGTGTGGGGGTGGGGTCTGTGGTGTGGGGTGTAGGGGCAGAGGGCCTATAGGGGTTTCAGTGGTGGTGGGGGTAGTGGTGAGTGGGATGGGGGAAGAGGACCTAATGGGTGTTACAATGGGGGTGGGGATAGTGGTGAGGGGGATTGGGATAGAGAGTACAGTGTGTGAGTTGCTGTGGGTTACTGTGAGGGTGGGGTTTGTGGTGAGGGGGATGGGGGAGAGGGTACATTGTGTGGGTTACTGTGGGTTTCTGTGGGGGTGGGGTTTGAGCTGACGGGGATGTACGGGTTACTGAGGGTTACTGTGGTGGTGGGGTTTATGCAGAGGGGGATGTGTGGGTTACTGTGGGTTTCTGTGGGGGTGGGGTTTGTGCTGAGGGGGATGGGGCAGAGGGTGCAGTGAGTGGGTTTTGGGTTAGGTCGTTTGGTTGCTTTGGGATTGCCATGGTTGTGTTCCTTCTGTGGGTGGTACTGGAGGGGGTTGTGTTTGTTCTTCCACGTGGCCTGATTTCTCCTGCTCTCCACCTTCCTTGCCTCCATTCCTCCTTGCGACGTTGCACCCTCTCTTTCAGTGTCATCCTTTCTTCTTGTGTTCTGTCTAGGTCAAGGTACACACTCCAGAACTCCTGATTGTCCCTTAAGCGTGCTTTCTCCTGCAGGATCCGGTTTCGAGCTAACTCTGCCTTGAAAATCACTTTGACTGGACGCTTTTTTTCCATCTCAAACCACCCAATTATCTGAAAATTTGTCAGCTGAGTCATGTCGTCCTCTCCTTTTGCTTTCATGATGCTTTCAATCGTTTTTTTCTCCTCCTGTTTCCTTGCCTCGTAAATTTCCCCATCTACTTCTTGGAGCCCATTGACAAAAATGGCCCTCTCCCTTTCATCCTCCCACTGTGCTTCCCTGATTCAAATTAGTTCCTGCCATTGATGCATTGCTTCTTACTGTTTCTTCCCTATCTGGTGTCCCTCTGGTGTCCCTTGACTCAGATGAGTCAAAGAGATGATACTTTATAACATCTCTTTGACTCATCTGAGTCTTCAACCCCTAGTCACTGTGTCCCATCTCTGGAACATCCTGTCCACACAGGAATGTACATGAATGGTTCAGAGAACCGACAAGTTGATAAATTAGACACATGTGCAACACTTGGGTAACCTTAATGAGGAAACTTCCACATTGGACAAATGCTACACCACCTACGACTGCTGCACCTCTCCTGCCTACGGTATATAAGCTACTTCTTAGCACAAATGCTGTATTCTTTTCAAGATTGATGGACTGACCACATCGACTCAAGGCTGAGGTACTGATTACCTCAAACTCCTCCTGTTCTTCACCATTCTCCTTTGTTTGGACTGATGAAGCCACTGTCTGGCGAAACGTTTCCTCATTAATGATACCCAAATGTTGCACATGTGTCTAATTTATCATCTTGTCAACCTTGTCAATTCCTCGGTGTTTTTTATATGTCGTTATCATGTCTCCCCTAACCCTCCTGTCCTCCAGTGTATTCAGGCCGATTTTCTTTCACCTTTCTTCGTAGGACATTTCCCTTAGCTCTGGAACTAACCTTGTTGCAAACCTTTGCACTTTCTTTAATTTCTTGACGTGCTTGACCAGGTGTTGGTTCCAAACTGATGCTGCATACTCCAGTATGGGGCTGACGTACACGGTGTACAGAGTCTTAAACGATTACTGACTGAGGTATCGGAACGGTATTCTCAGGTTTCCAAGGCGCCCATATGCTGCAGCAGTTATCTGGTTAATGTGCGCTTTAGGAGATGTGCTCGGTATTATACTCAGCCCAAGTTCTTTTTCCTTGAGTGAGGTTTGCAGTCTTTGGCCACCTAGCCTATACTCTGTCTGGGGTCGTCTTTGCCCTTCCCCGATCTTCATGACTTTGCATTTGGCAGGGTTAAATTCGAGGAGCCAGTTGCTGGACCACGCGTCCAGCCTGTCCAGGTCTCTTTGAAGTCCTGCCTGATCCTTATCTGATTTAGTTCTCATTAACTTCATATCATCTGTGAACAAGGACACTTCTGAGTCTAGCCCTTCCATCAAGTCATTCACATGGTCCTAGGGCTGACCCTTTGGAACCCCGCTCGTCACAGGCGCCCACTGTGATTCCTCATCCCGTACCATGACTTGTTGTTGCCCCCCTGTCAGGTATTCTCTGGTCCATTGCAGTGCCCTTCCTGTTATATGTACGTGATGTCTCTTGTGAGAAACTGTGTCGAAGGCCTTCTTGCAGTCCAAGAAAATGCAATCTACCCGCCCTCTTTCGTGTCTTACATCCGTTACCTTGTCATAAAACTCCAGTAGGTTTGTGACACAGGATTTGTGAAGGACCCACAAGGGAGGTTCCTTAATGCTGGCGAGGGGCTCTTGATCTAGGGATCTGTGCTCCGGTTCCCTGAATTGACCCTGAATACCTTCCATCAGTCCACATGCGCTGTATAATCCTACGGGTTTAGTGCTTCCCCATTATAATAATAATTTTATGTGAAGGACAACACAACTTTATTTAAAGACTAAGACAGCTTACTACTTGTGAAGAGAGTTGCAGTTCTCCTTGAAGACTAACACAGCTTACCTTGTGAGCTGTCTTATATACGTTGTGTAATGACTAACAAGCTTTACTTTAAGTGAAGTCTGTGTCAGCTTACTATAGTGATGTAGAAGGAGCAGATGAGTCCCATTAAGAGGATGGAGGCCCAGATGGGGAGGCTGGTGACTGAGGAGATAGCCAGTGACGGTGCATACAGACATATACCCATGTACACGAATGACGCCAGTAACTGGATTGCTGTTGCCAACTTCCGTAGTGTTCTTGACTTGAACCGCAACTCTATGTACTGTAAGAAAGTTCTTTTAAGTATTTAGTGACATCAAGTTCCCATGGGGATCATAGTCCCCTTGGGAAGCTAACTTTAAATCATTATTTACTTACAAAAATATTAGGAAAATACAGGTCTATAAATCAACATTTTTCCCCAAGGAAGCGTGAAACCCGAGATAAGAATGTACTTTTAAAAAGTATAATTATAATTCATATTTTTAAGACGTAGTTGGCCAGCTAGAGAGACACCTGTGCTAACATGACTCATAATACTACATTGTATTTGTTTTTATTTAAATTGATGTTTACTAAGAGTCATGTTTGACTGCATTACTGGATCAGTGTTTAGTTTCACATTGACAAAGAAGGGCTCTTGATCCAGGTTCAGCGCTTCTCTATTTGGTACTGATAACAATGCCTCCAGCGACATCATCCCTACCATCACCAACATACCCCCCATCCCACACATGCCTCCCATCCCACACATACCTCCCATCACCCACACACCTCCCATCACCCACATACTTACCATCCCACACATACCTCCCATCACTCACACACCTCCCATCACCCACATACTTACCATCCCACACATACCTCCCATCACCCACACTCATAACCGCTTCACCCAAAACCTCCCCCCACACAACCTCCCCACGCTCCTCACAAACATCATCTTCCAGCGCTCAGATCTTCAGCGTCCAAACTTAAAAATCACAGTACTGGTGGGACTCGAACCATGGCAAGAGAGTTCTGAAAATGTAAGGCTAGTGCGTTATCCGCTGGTCCAGGCTGGCATAATAAAATTTATTCAACTAACAAACGGACAATACACAACGGGCAACACACAGTCGACAACACACACTGGACAATACACAGTGGATAGCACAAACTGGACAACATGCAGTGGAAAAAACAGCGGAAAATGCACTGTGGACAACACGCAGTGGACAACACGCAGTGGACAACACACAGTGGACAACACTCATTCGACAATATACAGTGGATAACACACAGTGGACAACACAAAGTGGACAACACACAGTGTACAACACACAGTGAGCAACACACAGTAGAAGATACACAGTGGACGACACACAGTGGACAACACACGGTGGACAACACACAGTGGACGACACACAGTGGACAACACACAGTGGACAACACACAGTGGACAACACACAATGGACAATACACAGTGGATAACACACAGTAGACAACACAAAATGGACTACACACAGTGGACAACACACAGTGAACAACACACAGTGGAAGATACACAGTGGACGACACACAGTGGACAGCACACAGTGGACGACACACAGTGGACAGCACACAGTGGACGACACATAGTGGACAAAACACAGTGGACGACACAGTGGACAACACACAGTGGACGAGATAGTGGACGACACACTGTGGACGACAAATAGTGGACAACACACAGTGAACAACACACAGTGGAGCACACCCAGTAGATGACACATAATTAAAGGCATACAGTGGATGACACACATTGGATGACACACAGTGGAAAACACACAGTGGCCAACACAGGAGCTAAGACTCGACCCCTGCAACCACAAATAGGTGAGTACAGTGGAAGACACAGAGTGGACAACACACAGTGGACAACACAAAGTGAGCAACACGAAATGGATGACTTACAGTAGATGACGCATAGTTGACGACACACAGTGGACAACACACAGTAGACGACACAGAGTGGAAGACATACAGTCGATAACACACAGTGGACAGCACAAAGTGGATGGCACTCAGTGGATAACACTCAGTGGATGACAAACAGAGGTCAACACACAGAGTGCATCACACAGTGGATGATACTCAGTGGATGACAAACAGTGCATGACACACAGTGGACTACACACAGGGTACAAAACAGGGTGGATGACACACAGTGGACGACACTCAGTGGATGACACACAGTGGACGACCCACACAGTGGACAGCACACAGTTGACAGCGCACGATGGGCAATACACAGTGGAAAAAAACACAGTGGCCAACACACAGTGGACGACATAGTGGACAACACACAGTGGACAACACTCAGTGGATGACACTCAGTGGGCGATACACAGTGAACAACACACAGTGGACAACACTCAGTGGATGACACCCAGTGGAAAACGCACAGTGGCCAACACACAGTAGACGACACAGAGTGAACGACACACATTGGATGACACACAGTGGAAAACACAATGGACAACACTTAATGGACGACACACAGTCGAAAACACTCAGTGGACAACACAAAGTGGAGGACACACAGTGTTCATCACACAGTGGACGACAAATAGTGGATGATACTCAGTGGAAAACACACGGTGGACGACACACAGTGGACGACAGTTAGTGGAAACTACACAGTGGACAACACACAATGGATGACACAGCGTGGACAACACACTGTGGAAAACACGCAGTGTACAGCACACAGTAGATAACAAAAAAAGGCACAATACCGGGACTGGAACGATACACAAATAACCCGCCTATAGAAGAGAGGAGCTTACGACGACGTTTCGGTCCGACTTGGACCATTCACAAAGTCACACCGGATAACACGCAGTCGACGACAAACAGTGGACAACACACAGTGAAAAGCACACAGTGAACGACACACAGTGGATGACAGAGCGGACAACACACAGTGTACAACACACAGTGGATGACACTCAGTGGATGACACACAGAGAACAACATACAGTGGATGACACACAGTAGAAAAACAGTGCACAACACTTAATGGACGACACACAGTCGAAAACACTCATTGGACAACACAAAGTGGACGACACACAGTGTACATCACACAGTGGACGACGCACAGCGGATGACATTCAGTTGAAAACACAGGGAGGACGACACACAGTGGACGACAGTTAGTGGAAACTACAAAGTGGACAACACAAAATGGACGACACAGCGTGGACAACACACAGTGGACAACACGCAGTGTACAGCACACAATAGATAACACAGTGGACAACACGCAGTCGATGAAAAACAGTGGACAACACAGTGAAAAACACACAGTGAACAACACGCAGTGGACGACACACAGTGAACAACACGCAGTGGACGACACACAGTGAACAACACACAGCGGACAATGCACAGTGGACAACACACAGAGGACAACACACAGTGGAAAAGACTCCCTTGGCGACACACAGTGGAAAACACACAGTGGGCAACATACAGTCGACAACACACAATGGACGACACACAGTGGACAACACACAGTGGGCAACACACAGTGAGCAACACATAGTGGACAACACACAGTGGACAACACGCACTGGAGAACACTCAATGTTCAACACACAAAATACAACACACATTGGACGACACACAGTACACGACACACATTCGACAAAACACAGAGGACGACACTCAGTAAATGATACTCAGTGGACAACACACACTGGAAGATACTCAGTGAACAACACACAGTGGACGACACACAGTGGAAAACACACTGTATACAACACGCATTGTACAGTACACAGTAGACAACACACAGTGGACAACACGCAGAGAACAGCACACAGTAGACGACACACATTGGACGACACACATTGGACAACACACAGCGGACGACACTCAGTAAACGATACTCAGTGGACAACACACAATGGAAGATACTCAGTGGACAACACACAGTGAAAAACAGACAGTGAACAACACGCAGTGGACGAAACACAGTGAACAACTTACAGTGAACAACACACAGTGGACAATACACAGTGGACAACAAACAGTGGACAACACATAGTGGACAACACACAGTGGAAAACACTCATTGGATGACTCACTGTGGAAAACACAGTGGAAAACACACTGTGGACAACTCACAGAAGAAAATACACACTGGACGACACGGTGCAAAACACACAGTGGACAACACGCAGTGGACAACACGCAGTGGAGAACACACAGTGGACGCCAAACAGTGGACAACACACAGTGGACGCCACACAGAGGACAACACACAGTGGACAACACACTCTGGACAACAAACAGTATACAACACACTGTGGACAACAAACAGTACACAACACACAAGTGGTCAACACACAGTGGACAACACACAGTGGACAACACACAGTGGGCAGCACAGAGTGGCCAGCACACAGTGGACAACACGCAATGTACAGCACACAGAAGACAACCCACAGTGGACAACACGGACTGTACAGCACACAGTAGACGACACACAATGGACAACACTCACTGGGCGACACACAATGGACAACACACATTGGAGGACACACAGTGGGCAGCACAGAGTTGACAACACACAGTGGACAACACACATTTGAGAAGACTCAATGCTCAACACAGAATACAACACACAGTGGACGACACACACAGGGCGACACACAGTGTACGACACACAGTGGACGACACACATTGGACAACACACAGAGGACGACACACAGTAAACGATACTCATTGGACAACACACAGTGGAAGATACTCAGTGGACAACACACAGTATGCAACACGCATTGTACAGCACACAGTAGACAGCACACAGTGAACAACACGCAGCAAACAGTAGACGACACACATTGGGGGACACCCATTGGGCGACACAGAGTGAACGACACACAGTAGACGACACTCAGTAAACGATACTCAGTGGACAACACACAGTGGAAGATACACAGTGAACAACACACAGTGGAAGACACACTGTGAAAAACAGACAGTGAACAACACGCAGTGAACGACACACAGTGAAAAACTTACAGTGAACAACACACAGTGGAGAATACACAGTGGACAACAAACAGTAGACAACACAGACCGACACACAGTGGACAACACACACTGGACAACACACAGCGGACGACACTCAGTAAACGATTCTAGTGGACAACACACAGTGGAAGATAGTCAGTGGACAACACACAGTGGAAGACACACAGTGAAAAACAGACAGTGAACAACATGCAGTGAACGACACACAGTGGACAA